CTCACTTATTCAGATATATCACGGTATAAAGCGGCAGCAGCCAGTGGCGCCTGACGAAGACAGTGCCACCAGACGGTAGCAGGTGGCAGTGCTGAGGCGTCAGTCGGGGATGGCGTTGGCCACCTCAGAGGTCGGCCGTAATGCTTGCTGACGGCGGTGCCCCGGGGCCGGTGGTGTGTGGGCGGCGGCGCCGCTCGCCGTCGGCTACCTCAGGGCGCCGCACCCGGACCTCTGTGGTATTCCTTCCTATACATTCACGCCTGACCGCGTCAACGCTTATCCAATATATAGTGAATGCTCCACCACGGAGAAGGCAAGCACGTGCCTTAATGGGGCTTTTTACTCCTTTTCGCGGCGTTCAAAACGTTTTAGGTCCATCGACATCACTGTGCGATGCACTTGTGCGTGTCAGGTCGCTTTGCCGAACAGTCTCTTCTGCAATCTGCATCTGTGCAACCGTGACGATAAATAACTGAAGCTACGCATACCTGTAGCGTGGTACATACGGAAACAATACGCACATTATGCTGTTGTTGCCCGCGTGAGCATTTTGTAGCCAAGCTCAGCATGCATACTGTGGCCGGCAGGATATTGGGACAAGCGGATGGACGCGGGCTGTCGGTTCAGCACCGGGTGAGACCCTTTGTTCCAGACAGTGCTCCCCGCAAGTTCAGTGCCGAAGGCATAAAAACACATTCTGATTTCGAACACGTCAGATGTCACAATTGGAAAGAATGCCATTCTGCAAATGCAATCCCTGAAGATTATGTCGTTCATAGGCATGAGCTCTCTAGACATCCAGTCCGAAGGGCTGTTCGTGCGGGAGCATGCTATGTTAGGCGAGGTGTTCACTCCGTTTGTGAAAAAGCTATGCATGGAAACATTAGCACTGTCCGGCAGATGGTTCGAAAATGCGACGATTTCGATGCGATCGATCGGTACGTTCGTTGCATTCCCACGTGTCTTTCGCTTCAGTCACGTCATCCAGGGACCCAATTTAGGGTTCAAGTCCGTCCAGAAGCTGAGTGGTAGCTCGGATGCTTTTGCAACAACCATCAATCGGATTTTCATGAATAGGGTTCACAGGGCTCAGAAATGTTTAATAGGGCGACATGCCCCTAGGCCTACTTTGTTGGAAATATTACCTTATTGGACCTGGTTCGGTTCAAAGCACCTAAAGCACAGACAGGGCGTGACATCGCCTCTGAGTCGGCTGGTTCGAAGTGGCTGCCCATGTTCTCCTCTTCCCTGGGCAATATCAGCCACTTTGCGTTTTCTGGCAACATCGAGCAAGTTTTTACCAAGTCTAGCAGCCTGTCAACGATCGACACCAATGGGTTCCACCCGAACGTGGCTAGGCTGCGGATAAAGGCCTCGGACATCAACGGCGTGAAATCGAACGGCCCGCGTGTGGTGGCCAGCGGCTCGGCCGTATGTCAGATAACGCGGCTGGTACGGCGGTGGTGGCCGGCCTGGCCGCCGGCCGCCTCAGTCAGGCGCGACGCCAGGTCTTCCAGCAGGTCCGCAGCAGGAGCTTGTGTCCCGAGCACTCCGAGGCGCTGGTCCCAGGCGCCTACGTCGACCCGCATTGCCCGGGCACGGTCGACGCCGCCGGCACTGGGCCCGGGACGGCGCTGCTCGGTGCTGGCGCTGGTGGTAGCGGCGCTGGCGTTGGTACTCTGCCACAGAAGGTCCCGGGATGGGTCAGAGCGAGGCTCGCGCTGGCCGCCGTCGACAGACAAGGCTCGGGCCGGCGGCACCAGCGGCGGGGTGGGTGGTCGACAGGACGACCCCGATCCGGGCCTGGACGCAGGGGAGTACACGGAGATCACAGACAGTCGCCCGCCGTCACCGAAACCACCCACGGAGGTCGACCAACTCTGCGCAGAGATCCCGGAGACTCTCCCGCTGTCACGGCATCGGGAGGGCGCGCACTGGTCTGTGGAAGAGCGTGCTCTTAGGTGGACCTCGCCTGCGCCGCCGGACCGAAGCGACGAGCTAGTGCTAGCGAACGTGGTCGACAGCAAGCTGTGCGAGGTGACTCCGGAGATAGCGCCATGATAGATTATGCAGATGGCGCTACGATAGACTGCCCAGATGGCAGCAGCGGCGCCTGACGGAAAGGGCACACACAGCGAGGATTGTCTCGATATGATGTTACAGCACGTCATAGCACGGCCATGGTTTACGTGATTCACAAAAACTTGCGGTCGCCAGTTTCTTGTTGTTCAATGCTGGCGTGGCTTAATTTTTTACATGCCGGTGATGTACCGCATCCCATCTGGCACGCACAACCACGTTTATGAAAAGCGGTATTGCCCTGTAGCTTTGGGTTTTATCGTGGTTATATATATATATATATATAAATATATATATATATATATATATATATATATGTGTGTGTAATCTTTTGAGCAACTACTCAGTTTTGGGATGGCTTAGTTTAACTAGCGGAGCATTGGCCTGAGATCGACCATTTCTCACGCGTCCTGGATGCAGGCCTGTTTACTGGCCAGGCGTCTCGATGACCACGTCGGGCTGTCCTCGCCGACCTCCTGTCCCATGGTTGACATAGCAGTGTCGGGACGCCATCTGTGCGTGTAAGAAAAGCCGCCTATAGGAAGTTTGACCGTCGGAGCACGAAGGGGAATCTAATTGCATTTCGACCAGCACGAGCGGCTGCTAGACGCATCGTTTCTGAGGCTAAGCGGGCATCGTGGCGAACTTACGTCGGTCAACTTAACTGTCAAACACCTGCATCCGATGCATGGGCGCGGGTCAAACGCATTGCTGGACAGCACTCGTCTGTACCACACCCTGTGCTCCGTGTCAACGGACATGACGTTATACACCCAGCTGATGTAGCAAATGGAATCGCCCGCACTGTCTCCGAACAGCATTCTCCGTGCAGTAACGGCAGTGCCATCACACAGTTTTTATGTCACCGGATCCGCTGTGAGACATCCCAGGTTAACCTCAGCACGACAGAGTAGGTGTCGTACAACCGACCGTTTACAGTGGCCGAACTAATTTCCGCGATCGGATCGCTGTGCAGCGTGGCAGAAGGTCCGGATGTAGTTCACAGCGCCATGCTTAAGCAACTCCCTACTTCAGTAGTTAAGGGTCTCTTAGCAGCTTACAACAAACTCTGGGCGACTGGAGGTCTCCCGGAGTCTTGGCGTGAGTCGTACATTGTCTCTATGCTCAAGCCTGGTGAGAGTGGGGCTGAGCCTGCCGACTATCGCCTTATCTCACTGACATCATGCATGTGTAAGTTGCATGTTGATGATGATTCGCACGATAAATGCGCGTTTGTCGTGTTTTTTAGAGCGGTACAACGTTTTTACGGCTGCTCAATGTGGATTCAGGAAAAACCGCAGTGTAATTGACTTATGTGCAATTGACTTATAGCTCTATACACCAGCATCCGCACCAAATTTAGGGGAAAATGACATGTTGGCGCTGTGTTTTTTACGTTGAAGAAGCTTATGATACGACGTGCGTTTACGGTCCCCTTAAAAAGCTCTTTCATGATGGTGTTCGGGGAGTTATGGGCACATTGTTAGCGACCTTTATGACTGATCGTTTTTTAAGAGTTCGTGTTGGCTCACACTTTTCGGATAGCTACCAAGAAGAAAATGGCGTCCCCTAGGGCAGCGTTCTGAGCGTTGCTTTGTTTGCTGCGATGATTAACGATATTGGTGACCTCCTTCCAAAGTCGGTCAGTCGCTCTTTCTTCGTGGATGATGTCGCCACCTGGTACGCCTCGTCAAACCTTGCTTCTTTGGAGCGTCGCTCGCAGTTGGCTGTGGTCAGCCTGTAAAGATGGAGTGTTGTAAACGGACTACGTCTCTCAACTTCGAAAACAGTCGCTATGCACTTTTGTAGACGACGTCGTCAGTGCCCCGCCATGGCTTTAAGGCTATACAGCCAGACCATTTCGAACGAACCATTCCAGTACCCCCCTTTTGGGTCTGCAGTTTGATAGCCGTTTGGCGTATAGGTCACACCCGAAAACCCTACGTGACAACTGTTTTAAAGCAATGAACATATTTAAGTATGTGTCTCGAACATGTTATGGGGCGAACGGGAGAACACTGTTAGTCCTATACCGCTCAATCGTGTGTTCGAAGCATGACTGGATGTTTTATTTATGACCGCGCGCCGGGTTCTTGCAAATGTTTATTAGACACCGTGCACCATACCGCATTACGCATTATGACGAGAGCATTCAGGACATCACCAGTTGCTAGCCTTACCGGGGAAGTAAATGAACCGGCGTTGGTACTGAAAAGGGAAATGCTTGGCACGCGGTACTTTTGCAACCTGGCTCAATTTCCAAACCATCCGATCCACCGAGCAATTTTTCCACGTAATGTTGAAAGCGTACTCCAAAATAGTGGAAGGCCGTCGTCCGCTATTCCGCTTGGTGTCCAAATGAAGGAGCTGTCCCGGGAAGGCGGTATTAGTTTGCGTGGTGTGTTAAGGTTGCGTCCCGTAGTACCTCAGTGGGAGCTATTCTCACCAAAAGTGGATGCATTCCTTTCACGCATCAGGAAGCAGGAAGCGGTCCGAGGCGACTTGAGATTGAAGGCCCTGGAGCACATCGGGTCGTACATGGGATTTCAAGCCACAAATATTGATGAGTCCAAAACGGAGGTGGGCGTTCGTGCTGCATTTGTAAATGGCCAAGCCACTCGGGCATTTTCTTTACCGAAACACGCCTCAGTTTACACGTCCAAGCTCGTTGCAATCAGTAAAGCCCTATGCTTTGTCGAAGTTGGTGAGGGCAACTCATACGTGATCTTATCCCATTCTTTGAGCAGCCTGTTGGCCCTGACAACCTTTAACCCACCTTGTCCCATTATACAGGATATTTAGTTTGCCTGACAGCGCTGGGTCTTGCTGGTAAAACGGGCAGCGCATGCACCTTGCACCCGTTCTTTACCCTCGCCAGCAAGGAACTTTTACCCTGCCATCGCGACCATTGTAAAGGGGAAATGGCAACGCTGCTGGGACGCCATTGTAAGCAGTAAGTTGAAGGTGATCGAGCCACGACTGGGTCCATGGCCGTCAAGCTCACGTAAGTTGGGACACGAAAAAGTAACCCTCAGCAGACTACGAATTGGCCACGCGCACGCAACACATAGCTTCCTTTTGTGCGATGGAGAACGGTCTAAATGTCCTCGTCGTGATGCGCTACTTACGGTTCGCCACGTTATTCACTTTCGCCCACAGTTCAACGAAAAGCGGTCACTTTACTTCGGACGAGATGCGTCAGGTCATACCTTTTCAGACCTTACTGGCGACGATTACCGCATGTTTGGCACCGGACAGCTGTTTTCCGTTTTGGGAAGCGTAGGATTTGCAGTCATTTATGCCCCTCGGTAGCCACGTAACTGTTATGGGCGCAAAATAACCCCGGAAGTCGACGCGCCCTAAAACCCCAGTCATCATCATTATCATCGTTGCCACCCACTACATGCGGCGGGAGGGGCCTGTTTACTGTCCGGGTGTCTCACTGCCACCCACTACATGTGGCTGGAGGGGCCTGTTTTCTGTCCAGGTGTCTCACTGCCACCCACTACATGCGGCGGGAGGAGCCTGTTTACTGCCCAGGGGTCTCTCTGCCACCCACTACATGCGGTGGGAGGAGCCTGTTTACTGTCCAGGTGTCTCACTGCCACCCACTACATGCGGCGGGAGAAGCCTGTTTACTGTCCAGGTGTCTCACTGCCACCCACTACATGCGGCGGGAGAAGCCTGTTTACTGTCCAGGTGTCTCACTGCCACCCACTACATGCGGTGGGAGGAGCCTGTTTACTGTCCAGGTGTCTCACTGCCACCCACTACATGCGGTGGGAGGAGCCTGTTTACTGTCCAGATGTCTCACTGCCACCCACTACATGCGGCGGGAGGAGCCTGTTTACGGTCCAGGTGTCTCACTGCCACCCACTACATGCGGCGGGAGAAGCCTGTTTACTGTCCAGATGTCTCACTGCCACCCACTACATGCGGTGGGAGGAGCCTGTTCACTGTCCAGATGTCTCACTGCCACCCACTACATGCGGTGGGAGGAGCCTGTTTACTGTCCAGGGTCTCACTGCCACCCACTACATGCGGTGGGAGGGGCCTGTTTACTGTCCAGATGTCTCACTGCCACCCACTACATGCGGCGGGAGAGGCCTGTTTACTGTACAGATGTCTCACTGCCACCCACTACATGTGGCGGGAGGAGCCTGTTTACTGTCCAGATGTCTCACTGCCACCCCACTACATGCGGTGGGAGGAGCCTGTTTACTGTCCAGCTGTCTCACTGCCACCCACTACATGCGGAGGGAGGGGCCCTGTTTTACTGTCCAGGTGTCTCACTGCCACCCACTACATGCGGCGGGACGGGCCTGTTTACTGTCCAGATGTCTCACTGCCACCCACTACATGCGACGGGAGGGGCCTGTTTACTGTCCAGATGTCTCACTGCCACCCACTACATGCGGCGGGAGGACTGACATCCGTTGTCGGACCGGACACCGGCCTAGTGCCCGGTCTGACCTGGTAGTACAACTCATCAACCCGCTATCCGAATTATCGACGACTGCTGACATCAGCGCGGACGCTGTAGGACCAGAACCGTGCGATGCAGGCCGAGCCGAGTGGTTGCGTGGTTAACTTGAAATCTGTCTAGGAATAGGCCGTGGTAGCAAGAGCTGCAGCGAAGGCCAGGCTATAACGATTCGGGGTGTTAATTTGAGCAGCAGTTGTTAAATAGTGATGTGCCTAACAAGACCTGCTTGAGCCAAACTAGATAATGTGTGAAGCATATTTACCTGACTCACTTGGTACCAATGCCTGTTTTTACCGGAAACCTTATATTACGATGTGATGATTCTGCAACGTTTTGACCTCATCACGACCTTTACGGAAAGCGAGTACCCGCCAGTATCCCTTCAGTTGTGTTTGGACTGTGTCTGTTGCATTGCAATCGAAGACAAAACGCAAAGGTGGCGATATTTCAGTTCGGTTAGGTTTGGCTGACGTACTGCTTTTGAAAACCACGATGTTTCGCACGTCCGAGGACAAAATATAAACGGTCTGTGTAGCCCCAATCTGTTCATGTCGACAAGCGCACCTCTTGAAAGTGTATTTGCCGACATGGCCTTGGTGATCCCATCGACGACGCTGTACAAATGATGCATGCTGCGCTTCACGCCTCCTCGCAATGTTATGCCAACTCATCACAAGAGGGTCGGCTTTAGTCGCGGGCTCAGTCAGGAAGCTCGAGATCAAGCCAGATGTTTTTTTCGTCACGGCAGTGACCTGACGTCATGTAGAAATCATCAGGCTGAAAAAGGCTGAAAAGGTCAACGCCTTCTTCCACGATCACGTTTTCTGGCCTTTCAGCGCGGCCAGTTGAACAAAATGCTAACATTGTCCTTTTTCAGCGTTTGTTTGATCTGAAAACCTTTTTCGAAACTTGGTTTGTCGCGTAGAATAAATAACAAAGTCTGGAGGTTAATTGATTTAAGTTTTAGAAAACTCCGTGCCCTTTCGCCTCAAAACAAGCCAAAGATAAAAGTAAGAAAGGAGCGTACTACAGTCGCAGGCTTTCGGCAAGCCCGAATCGGATAATCATTTGATGACATTCAATTACTGTCCCACGGTCGGTGGAAGATGCTGGGCTGTTTATGCACCGGGTACGGATACCGGAGCGTACCCATAGTTTAGCCCCACTAAAACATAAAACGGCTGGAAGCTGGCCCGCAGGCATCATCCTATGTCCGGGGTGGCCGTACTGCAACGTGCCGTATCCCGTAAACCAACCCTGTGCAGAACTACCCGGCGAAAGGGCGGGGCCAAAATTATTTGCTGAATTAGGCGACACAGTTTGGGTGTTAGGTTCAGGGTACACGAACAAATTTCCATTCGCCAACGCTCTAAATCCAAAGCCACGCATTCAAGACGCTCGAAATAGATCAGTTAAAATCAAAGTCCCAGTCGAATGATTGAATGATTTCAGTCGCTCGCGTGTCGTTGACGGTGACTGTTGTTCCGTTTACAGGCACCATGCGGCTGCTTGCGGCCATGGTCGTGCTGCTGGCAGCGCATGCGCGGGCGGCCGAGGAGCGTTGTCCATGCACTCCTAGGCCTCTGTGTCCGGGCCACTACGGCACATCGCCGCTGGACGTGCTGCAGTTCGGCGTGCTGCGGCCCTGCCCACGCTTCGGCTACTTCCGCTGCTGCCGCCAGGGCGGCGCTGCCGGCGCGCTGCCCCGCCGCCGACGGCCGGCCGTGCACGTGGTGGAGGCCGACCGTGTCACCGACGCCGGGCAGGTATGTGTCGCGGTGCTAAGAGGCCAGATAGGTACATTGAAATCAGTGTGGGATAGTTCTAAGTTTCATGAGGTGAGTGGGGGAGCGTGCGCACTTCGTTTGTGCAATCTGCATGCATGATTCATTCACCTCGCAGCAGTTAACCAGCCTTTTCTTTCGTCTGTGCGTGGCAGGCGTGATATGCAAAAACAAGATCCTCTGTTTTCATTTCAGAACGAAATCAATCCCCGATCACCGTCAGCGTTTACAATTCCACTTGAAGTAGAGGAAGACAAGACTGTTTTCAATTCCGACCTAGTCCCTCTAAAGGACCTGAAATTGATATTCCAAGACGTGAATCAGGTAGACCAGCTAGCTAACTCAAAAACCTCAACTTTGGTTTTCGAAACGCGTCCAGAAGCACCCTTCGTGACGAGCCAAGAACAGGGGCCGACCTCGGAGCAGTATGCTCGGGATGTGCTTCAAGTCGAACAGGAATCTGAGCCTGGGCCTTCTTTCGATGAGGTCAGAAGAAATGCGCTACGTATCACGAATGCCAATATCGAACACGCTTTAACCGTCGCCAAAGTCGACGAGGCGCTATCTATCGGTGACGCTACTGACAGCGAAGCGGTGTCTCCAGACAGCGAACACGTCGGCGGCCAACTGGAAATCATCATTGCTGACACTGGCCATGCCTCAGCTGAAGCCGCAGCCCACGCGGAGCCCCCTTCCGTGTCCGATGTTCAATCGAACGCCTTTGTCTTGGACCTGGACGCAGCAAGAGACAACCCGCGTCTCGTGGCATTCCGCGTGCGGCCGCCCGCGCGCCCCTTCTCGGGCGTGTTGCGGCCGCCGTGTGGCTGCTACACGTGCGGCACGTGTCCGGCGTCAAACGTGGCGGCAGCGCGCACCACCCCACTGCCGTGCTTCGCCGGCTACGAGCCGTGCTGCTTCCCGGAGCAGCCCTGGCCCGACTTCGTGCCGAACGACTCCGACGTGGTGGCCCCATGCACACCGCCCGGCGCCTGCACGCGGCCGTACCATTCGTCGGTGCTGGATGTGGTAGTGTTCGGCCCGCTGGAGAAGTGCTTCCTGGGTCAGGTGCGCTGCCTCGACCCGCTGCTGGTGGAGGCGGGGCTGATGGCGCCGCAGCCGCCGCCGGTGTCCGCCGCCGCCTGCCCCCACGCCGCCGCCGCGCCAGCCTCCGACGCGGAGGGCGAGGACGGCCCCAGGGGCTTCGGCGTCGCTTCGGTGACGGAGGAGGGCGGGGGGTCGGTGGAGGGGCCGCCGCGCGCGCCGGTACGCGTGCCTACGTTCCAGGGCTTCAGGACCGTTCCCGCTGGTCACGCAGAGTCTGGAAGGCCACCTGGTACCGGCCATGCCCCGAATCCGCTAACAGAGTCGGATTTTGCAGGAGTTATCATCGGGTCAAGACACGTGCCGACTTTCAACGAACACTATCCTCCACCCAGCGTGGATTTCCTTGACATGCCGTTTCAAGACGAGATCACGACTGCTATCCCCAATGTACGTCTGGGCAAGCAGCATTTCCAGTCCGCTTCCAACGGCGGAGACTACAATGATCCACCATCCCATCCTGGAGCCCAAAACTCGGGCGCTGACCTCAATCCCGACCCCGTCTCACAGCTTGACGCTCCCGTACCTGGACCGGAATTGAATGGCGCACCAACCGATCTTTACCAGGCGGAATCCACGTTAAGCTTTCGCCAAAGTGGAGCCCTCTCCACCGCTGGTACCAGCCAAGATGACGTACACTTTGCTGACCTGGTCGAGGTTAAATCCTTAGCGAAATCTGATCTTGGCGAGGTTCAATCCCTTCCTGAACCCGATCCAGATAAGTCTGAATCGTCAACTGCCTTCGATCTGAACGAGGCTGACGTTCCTCGGGCTTTCGATCCTAACGAGACCAAAACCTTTCCGAACCCTGAAGTGGACGAGCTTGAACCACTTCTGGACGTGGATCAGGACGAAAATGGACTGCTACAAGATTCTGGTGAAGATGGGACTGAACCTTCGACGACCGAGGAGCTGGACGAGACTGTATCTTCATTTGATTCCGATCCAGAAAACTCCACATCCATAAAGTCCACCTCCGAGGTCTGGGCGGGATCCGGTGCTGGTGAGGTTCAATCCCTTCCTGAACCCGATCAAGATAAGGCCGAATCGTTAACGTCTTCCGATCTGAATGATGCTGACGTTGCGGGAGCTTTCGGTCCGGCCAGGACCAAAACCTTTGCGAACCCTGAAGTGGACGAGCTTAAGCCACCTCTGGACGTGGATCAGGACAACAATGCGCTGCTACGAGGTTCCGGTGAGGACGGGACTGAACCTTCGACGACCGTGGAGACGGTCGAGACTGTATCCTCAGTAGATTCCAATCCAGAAAACACCACACTCATGAAGTCCGCTGCTGAGGAAGCTAAGCCTGCTGCAGGTGCTGATCTGGAGGGCGCGGAATCCACGCTGGTTTATGATCTGGATGAGGCGGAATCCACATGGAACTACGATTTAGATGCAGCTGAATCCATGTTGGCCTCCGATGTGCATGAGGCTAAGTCCTCGGCAAAACAACATCGGTTCTCATACCTACCCCTACCTTCCGATGTGACCGACAGCGATACCCCCCACGCTGACCTGGACGGCGTTGAATCCATGTTGGCCTCCGATGTGCATGAGGCTAAATCCTCGGCAAAACAACATCGGTTCTCATATCTACCCCTACCTTCCGATGTGACCGACAGCGATACCCCCCACGCCGACCTGGACGGCGCTGAATCCATGTTGGCCTCCGATCTGCATGAGGCTAAATCCTTGGCAAAACAACATAGGTTCTCATATCTACCCCTACCTTCCGATGCGACCGAGAGCGATACCCCTCACACTGACCTGGACGGCGCTGAGTCGCTGTTGAGCGCGGTGGGGGCCTCTACTCACCATCACCATCACGATCCGGAGCACCAGCACCAGGAACACCAGGAGCACCGGGAGGCCAATCAGCATGCTGAGAGCGACGACCACCGTCTGCCCTCGTCGGGCCTGCACGTGGTCCCGGCTCCGGACCTCACCCTGGGGCTGCACCAGCTGGCTGCCGCTCCGTCTACTGACCTGGGCGCGCCTCAGCGCAATCTGGACGCACTCGGTGATGCTGGACGGGAGATACAGCACGATCCCGAAACACCCGCCGCCCAAACGCCGGAGCCCCGCGCAGCCGACCTTCGGCTGGCGAGCACGTACCTCCCAGTGCCCGTCAGTGTTGATCGCGTGGTGGTCAGTGATGGCGGTGCTGCAAGTGATGTCCCAGAGGCGACGCTGCCGGTGGTGTCCGACTCCGCGCTCACCCACCCTGACTCGGTGAGTCTCGAGGTCGGTCATGACGGCGGCCCGGACTTGCGCATTCCGATCCCGTGCCGGTCGCCCCCCGCCTGCCGCCGACAGTACGGCAGCAGCGCCAGGGACTTCGACGTGCTCGGCTTCCTGCCGGCCTGCCCGCGCGGCCAGCGCCGCTGCCTCGACCACGTACTCATGGTGTACTCGCGCTTCACTGATGACGAGGAGGTGCTGACTGGCGGCTCGAACGCCTTCGTGAACAGCGGATCCGTGACCGACGTCGAGCGGATACCGGCGACGGGCGAGCGCTTCCCCGCGGAGACTGGCACTGTCACGGCGTCAGGCGGCTTCAGCGAGGCGTTCCGCGTCTGCAGCCAGCATGTGAAGGACGGCGTCAGAGCCGCGGAGAATGGCGAGGTCGCGGGCGCTGCTGCGGCAGGCGCAGGGGATGACCTGTCGTCTGAGCCGGTCCAGTATGGTGAGACGTCTGTCACCAGTGGCACCGAGAGTGGAGGAGAGTACACGATGGAGATGAATGGACAGGGCGAAACGGTGATCGTCACAGAAACAAACAATGTGAGTGGAGCTGGCGGGTCCATCGAGGTCCAGGGCGAGTCACTGTCTACCACCCGCAGCAACCATCGAACCTCTCGGTGGCGCTGTCATTTCGGGCGCTCCCGGTGGACTCCCGGTCACCACTCAGCAAGGGGGAGAAGCTGCGGGAGCTATCACCTCTGGAGCGTAAGTGTTGAAGGGGTCGCCTCACAAACAGGTCTGGGAGAACAGCCTGCTGTTACAGGAATTTATGAAGGAGGAGAGGTCACAGTTCCCTCTGGTGAGCAGGCCATCGCTGGGATGCTCACTGGAGCAACTGGAGGCGGAGAGTTTGTGACTGTAATAACTGGTCAGAATGGTATCTCTGCAGAGACTGAGGTCGCAGTCGAGGCGGAGGTCTCCGGCGGGGGCGAGGGTCGAGTCTGGGACCGAGGCTGGAACTGACACGAGCTCGGGCAGCGGCGGCGTGGGCGTCACTGTCCCACAGCTGGGTGGCCTGCTCGGCGCGGCAGCCGGGTCCACCTACCCGGCCAGCACGGACGCCTACAGGTCTGGATACCGCGCTGCCTCTGGCGCACTGCATGGCGGACACAGGCCGGCAGGACCTCGGCAGCCACAGACCTCCTACGGACCGCCAGCATCTCACAGCTCTGGATACCGCGCTCCCTCTGGCGCACCGACTGGCGGACCCAGGCCGGCAGGACCTCGGGCAGCCACAGACCTCCTATGGACCGCCAGCATCTCGGCCTGGGTATGCACCGTCTCCACAGCCCAGGCCAGCGCCTGGCCCACCCAGGCTGGAAAAGCCGAACCTCACCGTGGGACGCCGCGTACCACCCAAAGCCGGTCATTTAGCGCCGCCGCGCGGACCGAAGCCGGCGTACCGACAGCCCCATCCACTCAAAACTGGGTATGGACCGCCACCACTCAACTACGGACCGCCACCGCCACCAGTCAACTACGGACCGCCACCGCCACCCATACTGAAATATGGACCACCGCCAACACCCAAACCGAAGTATGGACCACCACCAACACCCAAACTGAAATACCGGACCACCACCAACACCCAAACTGAAATATGCACCACCACCAACACCTAAACTGAAGTAGGACCACCACCAACACCCAAACTGAAATATGGAGCACCACCAACACCCAAACTGAAATACGGACCACCACCAACACCCAAACTGAAATATGCACCACCACCAACACCTAAACTGACGTATGGACCACCACCCAACACCCAAACTGAAATATGGAGCACCGCCAACACCCAAACTGAAATACGGACCACCACCAACACCCCAAACTAAAATACGGACCACCACCAACACCTAAACTGAAGTATGGACCACCACCACACCAAACTGAAATATGGAGCACCGCCAACACCCAAACTGAAATATGGATCACCACCAACACCCAAACTAAAATACGGACCACCACCAACACCCTAAACTGAAGTATGGACCACCACCAACACCCAAACTGAAATATGAAGCGCCGCCAACACCCAAACTGAAATACGGACCACCACCAACACCCAAACTGAAATATGGACCACCCCCAACACCTAAACTGAAGTATGGACCACCACCAACACCCAAACTAAAATACGGACCCACCATCAACCCCCAAACCTGAAATATGGACCACCACCTACACCTAACCGAAGTATGGACCACCACCAACACCCAAACTGAAATATGGTCCACCGCCAACACCAAAACTGAAATATGGTCCGCCACCGACACCGACACTGAAATACGCACCGCCAACAACAACCCAGACTGAAATTGGAGCACCACCAACACCGACAGTGAAATATGGACCAACCACCAACACCGACACTGAATATGGACCCGCCACCAACACCGACACTGAAATATGGACCACCCGGCACCTCTCACAATCGATTAAAGCCGCCCACCTCGAAGGCCTGAGCAAGCGCATCGGCCTCCTCTAATACACGAAAGTCCCACCCAGGCCAAAGTACGGCCCGCCGTCTCCTCCACTGCCCCAACCTGAGCAAACCTGCACCGCAGCTTGATGGGCCTCCCAAAACGCATCTGCCACGTCCCGTTCCGGGGATAGCTGAACGGCCGCATCGCCCTGAGTCCCCGGGTTTCAAGCCTAGAGTAACCCAGCGCCCAGACCTGGATCCCATTATGGGCGCACCTCCCACCGTAAAGGTGGCGAGACCGCGGTACCCAGCGCCCAGACCTGGATCCCATATGGGGCACCTCCCACCGTAAAGGTGGCGAGACCCGGGTACCCAGCGCCAGACCTGGATCCCATTATGGGGCACCTCCCACCGTAAAGGTGGCGAGACCCCGGGTACCCAGCGCCAGACCTGGATCCCATTATGGGTCACCTCCCACCCGTAAAGGTGGCGAGACCCGGGTACCCAGCGCCCAGACCTGGATCTCATTACGGTTAACCAACCACGAGGAGGTCATGGCCGGGTTGCACCTCCAGCCATAGCCCACCATTATGGGAAACTGATGGCCAACGACCTGTGCGCATTTGATGGTTCCGACGTGTTCGGCAATGCTGTGCCAGTGGTCGCTGGTCCTGTACCGGTGACCAACAGGTCTGGACCTGGTCCGTCAGCCGCTCCTGTAGTCTTGACCTGGTCTCCGTCAGAGCAGGCCGTGTGGTCACGTCGGGTCTCTCACGGACGGGGGTTGCCGTGCCTCCAAGGACGGGTTGTTCGTGTCTCCACAATGCCCGTACGGCATGCTATTTGAACGGCTTGTCCTCTGTTTTGACGGCGAGGTTGTGGATGCTGAGTGTTCTAAACCGAGACGAGATGCATTTTGGAGGATTTCAATAATCATTTCCGTCTACGGCACGGCATGTGTGCCGAACCTTAGGACTCGTGGATTTTGCCCTTAAGCATTCTGTATGGTGCTGATTATGTACATTACCTACGCAGCCTTGTGATTATGGATCGTCCGGTAAGTACACGATTCGTGTTGCGAGTGCAAAACGGATTTTCACACAATAACCGTGCCCTAATAATTTATCTTGGAACACTGTACTTCACCGTACTATGCTGTATATTTCGCTGTACTATATACGCATTATCATTCGCAGGACTCGGTGGGTGTTAATAAACATACTATTGTAGCCAACACTACTTTTTTATCTTTTAAAGAACAATGCTACAAACAGGACGCCAATAATTTGTGGAACTCGTGGGTCTGCAAAAACGACTAGTTCCAGTTGGGAATGGCCCGCTAGGCTCCAACTCCAGGCGTTTTTCAGTGTTCGCCCCATGACTACACCCACGGGAAGCGGGCCCGGCTGCATCGAAACCTCCCCCCCCCCCCTCCTCCGGGCGAGTAGACCACGCGCTCTCGAGCAGACGAAATCATACAGCAGTACAAGTTACAATCATATCTTTCATCGCATGGAATAAATAGTTACAGGCGGGTTGCTGATACGACAATCTATAGGTACTGACTAGAATGTCTAATAAAAAATCGGCAACCCCATCAAGGCCACCTCGCCATGTCGGTCTTAAAAACCTGAAAATCTGACCGCTCACGAAGTGAAAACCGCGCTAGCAGCAGACCTCACTGGCTGCTGTGACCTCGTCAACACATATTACCCTCACTAGAGGATCGCAGCCGGAGCGCTCCAACGCCTCTAACGCCAGTGCAGCGCCCAACTCGTGCTGCTGCGGCCATTCGGTAACAGGCGTCCTTGCCTCCCATTCGTGACGCGCGCGGAACGCAGCCAACACGCGCGACCGAGCACCGCCCCAGCCCCAGCGATGGGCGGGCTCCACTGAGGCGTGCGGCCAGCCACGGCCCGGCGGGGCGCAGCACCACGGCCGGCACAGCAGTAGACGCCTGCCGCCCTCGGCCGCCGACCGCCACTGTCACAGACCACGCCACTGGACGCGGCGCGCGGGTCACTGCAGTGCCATCCTCCCGGAGAACCCGTCTGACCCCTCGCAGCATCCTCCGCACCGTAGCTGCTGCTCAGGAGGAGCTGGCTCGTACGATTTGTACGGGGCTCGTCCAGGGTTCGGCAGACGCTCGTTCAGGGCTTGCTAGGCTCGTCCAGACCTGGGTGGGGTCCCGTCCAGAGCTAAGCCGCGGCACTTCTGCAGCTTGGCAGGCTCGTCCAGACCTGGGTGGGGTCCCGTCCAGAGCTAAGCCGCGGCACTTCTGCAGCTCGGCGTCCACAATTTGCGTCCAAGGGCTCGTCCGGACCCGTCCCGGGGCCCGCTCGGAACTCGTTTCGGAGCCCGCCCAAGACTCGTCGTGCTCGTTCTGGGGTTCTCCTGGATCTGGTCCGGTTCGTTTTGGGGCTCGTCGGAACGAGACCGGCGCCCAGTCAGCACTGCGACTCGCCGCTCGAGTTGAGCTTGTTCTCCCGGCTGGTGACGCCGGCCTCCAGCATCTTGTTCCGCTTGTACATCTCCATGTAGTTGAGCTGCAGCTGCTTCTGGTAGTTCACAACCTGCTCGGCACAGCAGCCACCGTCAGTTGTGATGGGTGCTGGGCACAGCAGCCACCGTCATTTGTGCCGTGCGCGTCAAGTCATTATTGAAGGGTTTTATGATAAAACGGTGTGAATATTACACATGCACAGACGCTAACAGACCAAGCCATGTCGGAAGCTTCCTGAACACATCAACACAGCCGTTGTCAGCAATACTACGAGGAAATCTGTGATCGTACGTGACGCTGGGCAGGCAAATCAACCAGACTCCAAAAGCCTGCATTTGTACCAGGAGCTCCTTACGATCCAACAGCTGACGGTTCGCAACGACGGCCGCGCGTGCGCGTTACTCACCTTCTGCTTCTCGTCGTCGCCAGTGCAGCCGCTCCTCCTCGAATGCCTCCTTCTGTGCTTGCGCCTGCGCACGACACGTGCTGAGCTCGGCGCGCAGCCGGTCCATCTCTCGCCGCAGCTGCGCCATGACTGCCCCCGTCTCGTCCGAGCGTGGCTCCGTCACCTGCCGACCGCAGCGCGGCTCATCCTCTCATCCACGCTGCCTCCCGTGGCCGGGGGCGGTGGTCACCTGCTGCTGCTGATAGGTCACCGTGGGAGGGGCTGGCCAGTG